CCTGGTGGTGGATACCCTGGTGGCAATCCTGGTGGTGGATACCCTGGGGGCAACCCTGGTGGCGGATATCCCGGCGGTTTTCCTGGTGGTCCTCCCGGCGGTCTTCCTGGTGGACGTGGACATCCAGGGGGTCCTGGCGGAGGAGGTTTTCCTTTCCATCCTGGTGGAGGTCCACCTGATAGTGGTGGCGGGGATCCAGGAGCTCCGTACGCGGGACTTCCGGCATGGCTGGGTGGCTTCATGGCTCAGCAAGAGCCAGTGAGGGCGGTGGATTTGCCGGCCTTGCAAGAACTGTCCGAGTCCGAAATCGGGCCTTTGATCGCAGGCGATTGGTTGACCACGGTGGGGCCTTTTCTTTGCGATATGAGTGCTAGCTCTTCCATGTGGTGGGATGAGGTCCTGAATGTCGCGGGAGCCCCATACCGTGTGTGGCTTGGATCGGAACCCATGGAGCGCTTGAGGTTGGTTGCTATATCTCCTCCAGCTTTTCAGAGAGCGCCTTGGCTTCGAATCGAGCAGCGTGGATCGGTGGCATTGTTGAAAGCCATTCCAGAATCCATTCGGTCAGAGCTCGTGTCACAAAGGGAGGTGGGTTCTGTCAGCATCATCTACAAGATCTTGCGTGTTTACCAACCTGGTGGCTTGGGTGAGCGTACCACGTTGTTGAAGCAGCTGGTTGATCAGCGTGTTCCCAATGCCCTTGGTGAATGGTTGTCATCCTTGAGGGCTTGGCGTCGTTGGCTCACCAGAGTTCAGGAATTGGACATCCAGCCTCCGGACCCGGTTCTGCTCCTTGCGACACTGGATCGATTTGCTGCTGCGTTGGCTAAGCAGTCTCCTCAGGTGGCTTTCAGACTCCAGGTCACCAGAGCTGCTCTACGAATTGATGTCGCACCCACGGAGCCGGGGATTCAGCAGTTTGCAGAGTCATTGTTGGCTGAAGGTGAGGCTGCTTTCCATGGGACTTCCACAATGCCCTTGAAGGACACGGTGAAGGTCAAGGCCCTGGATGGTGATGGAGGGGTGACCCGTGATGAAGGTGGGAAACTTGGATGGCCGGGTGCTGTTGCAAGTAGGTGGGCGACTTGCATGTAGGTGGCGAAATTGCAAGCTACTTGGCACACTTGCTAGAGTACTTGCAAGTTGATTTGCAAAGACCTTGCAAGTAGAAACTATGTACAACTTGGAGCGCTTGCTAAGTGTACTTAGCTATGTAGACCATGTTCGCAAACGCACGCGGCGTGCTTTTTTTTTGGTCATCGCGCGAGTGTTTTCAACCTCACGCGCATGGATGTTTTATATCCATGCCTTCCTTTGAGCCAAAGAAAAAGGAAGGAATTGGTGGAACACTTTTTCGTTCGAAGAAAACTTTTTGTTAGTCGGTATCGGTCGGAACAAACTCTAGATTCGGTTTCGTTTTTCTCCCCCCCGAAGATTTCTGCTTCACACCGAAAACCTACAACACTTCAGCACAGGTCGCAGCTCAATCGGTTGAGCGTGCAGGAACGTATTCGGTACAAAATCTTAGCGGTAGCACACAAAAGTTTGCTGTTTTTCCCAAATGTGCACGGTCTTTTTTGAAAAGGGTTTGATGCTGCGTTTTGCGCTGCAACCTTTGGTGTGCATGTTCCCGTGCAAACCATGTGTATTGACCTCCGTTGGTTTCATTTTTTCCCTTCCAAACTTTGGTATACCTATGATTTGGCCGGGCTTATACTTTGGTAAAGAATGTCAACGCAATCTGTCACACACTTCGAAGGTTTACACCAAACCCCGGAACACCGCTAAAAAACGGAACGCCTCCGATGCCGAAATCCGTACACTTAGCCCTCCGGAGCGTGCTGGCAGCTGGGCAGCGGTGGCAGCCTGCCAGCCGTAGAAACATCAGTGGGTTGGCCGACAGGATGGTTGGGGTCGAATGTGGCGCAACCTCCAAAACCGATATACAAAAAACAGCCTTGCGCTATATTATAGGGTCGTGAGAGGAATCACGTTCGTCCATGCCAGAAAATGGTCAACGCCCACCCACAAAAGAGCAGTGTTTTTTTATGGGCCTCTATGCCTAAGCACGCGCACCCAAACGTCGAAAAGATTGGTTCCTGTTCATGTCTGCTCACCGAAACTGTGTAAAGAACAATTACCTACAAGTGGCGGCAGCCTCTAATTTTGCCAGGTTCGAACAGAACAACCGCTCCACATACTGATTTTAAGCACTTATACCCCATCACGCTTAGGTTGGCGGTGTTTTTTGTCTTTATAAGAGAAACCTATTCTGGCAAAAACGTCTCCATTAAACTTCCCCTCTCTCTCTCTCTATACCGTGTCGCCTGTGCGTTCACCTCCGTGTTTTTCTATCACCTATACCTCCTCCAACCACGAACCTTTCAGGTCAAATCATACAGAAATGAATCGGACATCGGATAGTTAGGGTTCAGGAGATTGGGGGTTGTGATTGGTATATCTATATTCCAAGGTGGAGCGCACCTGTTCAGGAATCCTTCCAGTGGCTCCTTGAAGGGTGAACCACAAACCACAGTTTGGTTCGATACTACTTTGCAACGCCTCTTTTGGATGGTCTGTGCGATTCACACGCACCCCTACAGTCAATTAACGCGACCAACACTCGAGAGCCAGAAGAGGCGGACACGGTCCACTGTCCACACGCACAAACATAGCCCGCAGTCAAGGAACCACCAAGGCATGTCCTGGCGTTTCCATCTGATGGATGCAACACCTCTTGATGCACTGCACCCTCATGAGTTGAGGGTCATCCACAACGGTAAAGCGATTGTTTCCCAAGGTGACCCATGGGCTCCAACAAACCAGTTGCTCACCACGAGCTTCCACAAAGAGCCACACCGCTCCAACACGCTCTACCCCATCAGAAGTAGCTACCACAACATCTCTCGCAAAGCATCTCGCCGACGCATCCAGAAATGCTTCCTGTGAAGCGCGAACAACTAAAGGCTCAAAAGGCGAAATATTCAAGAATCTCCGAACATGCTCAAGCAACGATGGAGGAGCATCAGAAGCCTT